AGGTACTGCTCATCACCTGTCCAATACAGTCCCAACAGTGCAGCATGGTGGTGGCAGCATCATGCTATGGGGGTGTTTTTCAGCTGCAGGGACAGGACGACTGGTTGCAATCGAGGGAAGGGTGAATGCGGCCAAGTACAGGGATATCCTGGACGAAAACCTTCTCTAGAGTGCTCAGGACCTCAGACTGGGCCGAAGGTTCACCTTCCAACATGACGATGACCCTAAGCACACAGCTAAAATAACGAAGGAGTGGCTTCACAACAACTCCGTGACTGTTCTTGAATGGCCCCGCCAGAGCCCTGACTTAAACCCAATTGAGCATCTCTGGAGAGACCTGAAAATGGCTGTCCACCCACGTTTACCATCCAACCTGACAGAACTGGAGAGGATCTGCAAGGAGGAATGGCAGAGGATCCCCAAATGCAGGTGTGAAAAACTTGTTGCATCATTCCCAAAAAGACTCATGGCTGTATTAGCTCAAAAGGGTGCTTCTACTAAATACTGAGCAAAGGGTCTGAATACTTATGACCATGTGATATTTCAGTTTTTCTTTTTTAATAAATCTGCAAAAATATCAAATTCTGTGTTTTTCTGTCACTATGGGGTGCTGTGTGTACATTGAGGATAAAAATGAACAATTGATTTTAGCATATAGCTGCAATATAACAAAGAGTGAAAAATTTAAGGGGGTCTGAATACTTTCCGTACCCACTGTATATTTAAACAGAATCCTTTTATGTAATGGAAAAAAAGTCTAACTATCTTTGACAGAATCTCTGGGACTTTTAATGTATTGATATAGTCCTCACTTTCAGTCCACCTAATGAGATTAGATTGAAAATAACGAGAAGACTGACTCACTCCCATGTCACCACATGAGTCTTTGTTCTGGAAACATTTTGGTCCAGTGGAAGCAGCAGGTGCACTTGTATTTCTGCAACAGAGCAGGCTCACTAAGAGATAAAATTGCACAGTAATGTTTTGTCATTTTGTGCTACAATAAACTAAAAACTCTCATCTGAATGTAACAACTGTAAAAGCTGAAGACATTTGATAAGGCATTTATTCTTAATTTAATTATTTAGCGGCACATATCTTATACAGTCCACATACTGTACATGTGACAGCTCATATGAAAACAAATGGCAGATCAGTACAATGAAAGTTAGGCATTAGGCAAGAAAAAAAAGAAAACCAATCTGAATTATGAGATGCATAACTAGCAAATTCTATCCAGTGTTGAAAAAAAAATCAACTAGACTAACCTTTTAGGTTGAAGGTGTTTCACCTCTCATCCAAGAGGCTTCATCAGTTCTGCCCAACTGGCATCGAGTCAGATATATTTATCCCCATCAGTAGTGTTTCAGTCCTTTGATGCCCAACAATGTCCCCTAACGACTCAGTCGTTATACCCCAGTATTGGTGAGCATCGTTACCTCACCTGCAGACCGACACCTATTGTTCTGGTGGGCATGTTTGGGCAGAGAATTGTAGATGGATGACAAGTTGTGTCTTAGTCTACCACCCCTATGTAGTGAGGAGTGTTCTATTTGGACAAAAATAGCTTCCTTGACTCCTCTCTCAAACCAGCAGTGTTCTCTGGAGAGGATCTGGACTTTACTGTCCTCAAAAAATGTCCTTTGTTCTTCAGGTGGAGGTGGACTGTCAGGATCGGCATGTAAAGTTGCCGATGATGTCGAGGGTGAACTCAATTATATTGCCAGATGAGTAAAGGCAGAAACTGTCTCTTTAATATGAGCACTGGTAACAAACAAAAACGATACAAAAAACTGTACACACTCTCAGGTCGATAACAGTCCAAGGTCAGAACCAGCAAACGCACACAGCCAAGGGATCCAAAATGAGAGGTCAGAGAGGGAAGTTTGATAATCAATACACAGAAGACAGTCCGAATCAGGAGGGCAAGGCAGTACACAGTGGTCAAGAATATTCTGGGGTCAAAAACAGGAATCACAGATACAAGGATAACGCTGGAAAGTCTCAACTGGAGTTAGAACGATCTGGCAGTTTTTTGGTGTGGGGAAGCTGCCTATATACTGTTGTAACCAGGTGTGAGTAATGAGAAGCAGGTGAAACCAATGTGGGTGATGAGATAAAGTTCCCAGGAATCAGGGTGAGCTGGGGACAGGAAGTAGTGTCAAAATAAAAGCATGAGACTGGAACAGTGGGGCAGAATCATCACAGTGGACTGCTGACTCTGGTCCACTGGGGTTGGCCCTCCTGTGTTGGGCTATGCGTTTGTGCAGCGCCTGCTTAGTTTCACCAATGTACCAGTCGTTACACTCCTGACTACACTTAACTTGTATACACGACACCACTCTGTTTATGTCTGGGTGTTTTGTCCTTTGGATGGACCAGTCCTTGCCACAAAGTGTTCCCTGGTGTAAAGTTAACTGGGATATTGTGGTTGTGAAAGATCCTTTTTAACTTCTCTGATAAACCAGCCACATAAGGGATGACAGTGTTTTCCCCTCTTGTTTCTGGTTTCTCCCTGTTGGTGTTGGGCCTCTTCCTTGCTTTGGTGAAGGCCCACTTGGGGTATCCGCAAGCCCTAAGGGAGTTCTGGATGTGTAATTTCTCCTTCTTGGCCCCTTCTGCCGTTGTGGGCACTTCCTCTGCCCTGTGATTTAGAGTTCTGATGACTCCCAGTTTGTGTTGAAGTGGATGGTGTGAGTCAAAAAGCAGGTATTGGTCTCTGTGTGTAGGTTTCCGATATACTTCTACTTTCAGGCTTCTATCCCCTCCCAAGTGCACAATCCAAACGCCAGTCGGGGAGAACTGATGAAGCCTCTTGGATGAGAGGTGAAATGTCTTTGACCTAAAAACCTAGTCCAGTTGAAGTTTTTTCAGCAATGTATCATTGTGAGTTTACTGTATGCAATACACTGTGGTCAAAAAACAGCAATCCAGGACCAGAAACTAGAAAGTCAGGCAAGAATTAATGCTGGAGAGTCACAGCTGGAGTCTAGAACAATCTGGCAGGTTACTGGTGGGGGAAGGCTGCTTATAATGGGGTGAAAAACAGGTGTGATCAATGAGGAGCAGATGAAACTAATGTGAGTGATTAAAGTAAAAAATCCGAAACTGTGGTGAAACAAAAACAGGAAGTAATGTCAAAATAAAAGCACGACAGGAAGCAAACGGAACCGAATCATGACACCTTTCTTACTAGAGGAAACAAAACACTGGACCAATGTTACAGTAACATTAGAAATGTTTTCTCAGCTGAAACTAAGCCTCATTTTGGTAGATCTGACCACTTAGCAATTCGGCAAAAACCTGGTTACACCAAATGACTCAAGGCGAACCCATCTCAGTGAGAGCTGTTAACACCTGGAACGACAGGTGCACAGGCTAGCCTGCAGGGCTGTCTAGAGGCCACAGACTGGAACATCTTCAAAGGGGCCACAGACGACATTCATGAATATGCAGAGGCTGTGAGTGACTACATCAGCTAGTGCACATCCATATGCACACCAGCTAGAATGGTGTGTGTTTTCCCCAACCAAAAACCATGGTTTAATAGGGATATAAAACAGAAAATCAGAAAGAGATGAGAAGCTTTTAAGTCAGGGGACCAAGCGGAGTACAGGAAAGCCCAGTACGAGCTACAGAAGTCCATCAGAGCTGCAAAGAGGGCATACTTCCAAAAACTGGAGAGCTACTATATAATAACACGCGCAGTATGTGGTAGGGAATCCAGGCAGTCACAAACTATAGGAACAAATCAACAAAGACAGCCCCCTGGGACGCCACCCTTCCGGACAGCCTCAACAACCTCTATTTGAGGTTTGACAGGATGAACACAGACACCCCCTCAAATTCCCCCCGCGACCCGGGGGACACTACTTTTCAGGTGATGCACACACAGGTCCTAAAGGCCGTGAAACAGGTAAAGCCCACATAAGGCAGCGGGACCAGACAGTGTCCCCCCTAGATAATGCGGTGGCCCTGGCTTTATTCCATACCCTGAAACACCTGGACAACAGCAGTACGTATTCCTGGATTAAAGTTCTGCATTCAACACCATTCGCCCAAGCAGGCTGATTGGAAAGATGACAGACCTCGATGTCACAACTCCCACCTGTAACTGGATTTTGGATTTCCTGACTGAAAGACCACAGGTGATCAGAATGGGAGGGTGGGTGTTTGCTGAGCTCATAATCAGCACAGGCTCACCACAGGGCTGCTGTCTCAGCCCAAAACTCTTCACCCTGTACACTCAGGACTGTGTCTCCAACCATGACAACACTAGCATCATTAAATATGCTGATGACACCACCATTCTGGGCCTCATCAAGGGGGGAGACGAGTCGGGTTATAGAAGCTTGGTGAACAACATTCTTGTTTATGGAGAGGAGAATTACCTCATCCTCAACATAAACAACACAAAATAAATAATAGTAAATTTCAGGAAGCACCCCTCCCCTCTGCTGCCTCTGACTGTCAAAGGGACTGAGGTGGAGAGGGCTGACAGCCACAAGTTCCTGGGCCTGCAGGTGACATCTGACTTGAGCTGGTCACTGAACACAGCTGCCATAGTTAAGAAAGCCAGGCAGCGGCTATACTTCATCAGATGGCTCAGAAAAGCTGGGCTGAACCGTCGCCCTCTCACCCAGGCTTATAGAGGACTGGTAGAGGGCATCCTCACTACTGACATCACAGTCTGGTATGGTAACACCACACAGGCAGAGAGGAAGGCTCTTCAAAGGGTCATAAAGACTGCAGAGAGGATAACTGGGACTGAACTGCCTGCTATGGACACACTAAACACACAGCGCTGTCGTAAAACGGCAGAGAACATAATCAGGGACCCATGCCACCCAGTTCACACTCTGCTCAGACACAAAGACTGCAATAATCCCTCACTACCTCACCAAGCGTAATGACATATCCAACTCCACCATGTGAATTATTGAGTGCGATGTTTGAAGTTCACTGGGGAAAATACTATTACCTTTTTTTTTGTGTATTTCAGTTTTAATGCTTTGTCGCCTTTATGTAACTTTTTTGTTTTAAGACTAAGTGTTCTTTCTGGCTTTTGACTCCTTATCTGACTCCAAAGGAAAGCTGCACGAGAATTCCTATATGCCTAGACTGTTTGTTTATGCATAAATGGCAAATAAAAATCTTGAATCCATGAATCCTTGTTGTTCATACACAATTCTCCATGGATAAATAAGGATTTACTCAGATTTTACTCTCCAGGACAGTCAAATATGCATTTAGCTAAACTGGTGAACAGAAAATTCCAGATTCATGGCTCAGCTTCTCAGAAAGACCAGTGAAATAAATAAAAACTTGAGCTACTGGTGCCAGCAGAAGAGAGGCTAGCAGCGGATGGAGGTATATAGATGTTTGGTTGATTGCTGCTCTCCCTCTCATGGCAGATGGCTGACTCCGGTGGACTTCCCCAGCTCACACAGGTAATACACCAACAAGCAACCTTACACGTAGTCAGCAGGTTGCCAAATGATCAAATGAAATAGCAAAAAAACAGACCATGAATACATTACCCATAGTTAACACTGTTAGCCGCAAAATCAGTGAAATGAAAACTCTGACGTGTTGTTTTCCAGCCTGGCAAGCTGACCGAAGCCTTCAAGTATTTCCTGCAGGGAATGGGCTACAGTAAGTATTTATACAAAAGAATGCAGTGAGTGAGAGAGTGATTCTATATGTATGTTTGTGTCTTTGCTCAAGTTTATCTTAAATTAACTCCTTGTGAAAAGTTATTCAGCAAAAGTGTAACTGCAGTCCTGTGTGAGTGTGCTGTGATATCATGTCTTTCATGCAGGGGGACATGTTGTGTTAATCTTGCCCTCTGTCTCCCTTGCCCTCTCAGTCGCTTATGTGAAGGATCGGAGGTTGAGTGGAGGGCCAGGTACTCCCCAATTCACCTATGACTTCTTATTACTGCCCCGTTTAATGACATTGGCATTTTGAAATTTATGTGCATTTTTTATTTGTCTGTTTGATTTTATATAAAACACACTATTTTGGGCTGGTATGAAATTGTTTACTTTTGCTTTCATTTATGTTTTTCTTCAATCCTAAAGGCATTAAACCCCATCTTTGTTTTATCAAAAATAATTTTTCCTCCTGTGGAAAAATAGACTGCCCTGACTTCCCCTCCCATTGCATCTCCAGTACTGCTCTTCGCATGGCCTTCAGCTAGCTTTGAGCAAAAGCTGAGTGTATATCAAATGAACAGCAGCATTAGACAAGTCAGTTTAGTCTTTAAAAGTAAATAGCCAACAGAACAGCAAATATATAGTCCTTGTACTCAAGTGAGAAACTAAATTAAATAAGTTAAAGTACTGATTGAACACGAGGTTGACTACTTAACTTGGTCTCAGAGTTATACAGGTTCTGAGGCAAACTACTGAGGTAAATCACATAAGCACAGTATACAATATGAAACATTTAAAGACACCAGAATTTTAAATTTTCTATCTTTTATATTGATATTTTATGTTTACAGTATATTGAGTGCACTGGGCTTGGGGCTTTTGTTGCAAATTATACAAAGACTGTACAGCCTTAATGAAAGCAGACAACAAGAACCAAATCAGACTCACTTAGCAGTTAGTTGGACTAAAACTTGGAGTCAGTGTTTTTATATTAACCTTGCCAATAGTAATTAATTACTATTATTTCTTTTTTAAAACAGCTTTTATGCTGAAAGTGTGCTTTATTCCTGTCTGAAAAGTGAAATTTTAAGTCAAGCACTTAAACTTAAACTGCACTTATAAATATTTTTATATTACTGATGGAACAAATGACTATTCATAATATGAAAGGGGTAAAAGGCCAAAAAGAAATATAACCAAACTTGCTTTTGTCTTCAGTTCTACAGAGTATTTAAAACATTTTAGCAAATTTGTTTTGGCTTCCCAGCTCACAAACTCACTTACAGTATACCAGCTCCCAGTATCTGGCAGCTGTTTTCAGCAAAATAGCTCTAATACCTGCCCCAAACCAAATGACTACAGATTACAGCCAGGTGGGACCAAAACAGAGCTAGAAGGAGAGTGAATATAAAATTTAAATTTAAATTTGCCTGGTGGCTAGAAACACAACTCCAGATTAATACTAATGCTAATGAATACTGGCCATCATATTAATGTTATATGAAACATAAATGCAGTTTTAATCATTCTGAATACTTCATAAATTGTTGTGATTTTGGTAAGAGTTAGAATTCCTGTCTAGATTGTCAGGGTTCATTATTCATTTGAGAAGCAGCAAGTGACAAAATAATTTTTGAGGTCCATATAACACAAACTGAGCCCCGGGTTTTTCCTCTGCATGGTGCTGACACTGCATAGACACACAGACAGCAGTTTTAATGAACAGCTGCTGAGTTAGCCAGTAAGCTGCGTTTTATTGCCAGCTTCAAAACAGAGATATTCTTTAGTTCTCCACAAAAGCATGCACTCCCCACATCAACCCAGCATCAACTGATCTCACATTTTTGTACAAAACGTAATGCTGACTTAATCTGCTTTCCCCCATTTCCCCGTTTCTTCTCTCTCCTTCCTCCCAGTGCCCTCCGCCAGTATGACCCGCCTGGCTCGCTCCAGGACGGCTTCCCTGACCAGTGCCAGTTCCACAGAGGGCTCTCGTTCTCGGGCCTGCACGCACTCCGATAGCACCGAGGGAGTTGGCACGGTCACCCACACCATGGAGGTGTCCTGCTGAGGAGCCACAGAAAGAAGGAGTGTGGGGGTAGGGGGACAGAGAGAAAAAGCAAGAGACAGGAAGGGATTATAGCAAAGATGAGATGGGAGGGGAATGGTATATGGAAAAAGTAGATGTGAGAAGATGTGAGAGAAGTAGTCGAGCATGATAGAGGGAAGAACGTGAGCGCAACAGAAGGAAAGTACATAAATGAGGTGAAGACGGCTCTCTCTGTCTTCAGCTATCTCCTCCATAACCCCTTGTCTGCCATCTTCTTCGCTCCACTGTAAAAAAAAACATATGTATTACTAAAAAAACCGAACCACACCTTTTAAATATTCACCTAAACTCCACACCCTTTCCCTAGCTCTTAAAGAATTAGCAAACTGTTTCTGGTCTTGAAGTGTCATTTATGTGTTTGCTAAGTGTACTCCCCCCACCCCCTCACAACAGTCTATCAAACCCTGTTCCTGTTAATAATGTGATATCCAAAGGGAAAAGAGGGGATAAAAACTTTAGGGGGTGCCATAAAGAAAAAGTGTTATGCGTCAGTATTTTGCAAGCAAGTTATGCTTTTGTCATTGTGTGAGTATCTCTCTCTGTGTTCTTTGTATAGGAGTGATTCTTTCTCTCCATCAGTGACAGGGGAGCATTAGAGGGTGTGTGTGTGTGTGTGTGTGTGTGTGTGTGTGTGTGTTCAGAATTTGACAGACAGCAGAACACAGCCCATTGTGGCCCAGTGCACCTGTTGTGATTAGAGAGAATTCCTTAGCTTTTATATTCTGTGAGCATAGCTAGAGTAAACCATGCTGAATTAGAGCTGCACTTGGCAAGATTTTATATCAGACATGTAAACTAATTTTTTAGAGTGTGAGAGAGGGGTATCATCATCATTCATGTTATCAGGTGTTTAGGTGTCAGTACTGTTGGAATGCTGCTAGGAATAGCTGTACTACTGAGGTGAGCTTGTTTATTTTTTAGTAAAAGTATTAAAAATCCAGCTTTATGAAAAGCCAAACCTTGTAATAATAAGTTGATTCTGTTAAGTATAATCACAGATCATTATAAGGTGTAGTATCTGAGACACAATATGAGGCTAAACTCTTATCATCTCCTGCTAGAAAACTAAACCCAGGCACCAGTCACGGGTGCATTGAAACCTAGTTACTAGACCACCACGGAGCTTAGCTGACATAAATGTGCAGCCTAGTACATTTTTATTGCCTTTTTTATCATAATGTGTGCATGTATGGTGAAAGTATATCCAAACTTGTGTTTTAATAATCTTGATTTCTGAGCAACTTGACAATCTGTAATCTATTGCTTTATATCAAATGTACATCAAATGAATAATGGAAATATCCAGTTTAATATAACTAGTGTCGCAGCAAAGTAACTATGAAGCATTGATCAGCATGTAGAAACTTTCCAGACTTTAATCTCTCACCTATAATCACTTTCTATGAAATCAAGGGAGCATGAAATTGTCGATATCAAAGTATTTAACTGCTCAAAGTGACTGTGAAAACTTACCTGCTGAATAGATTCATGAATAATTTATGTTGTGTGTAAACTTAGGAATAGTGTCATGCCTAATAGAAGAATATTAGTGAATTTGTATAAGCTTCAAGTTGGGAGCACTACAGATTCTTATAGTTTACTATAATCTCTTGTTATGTTTGCTGTATCACTTCTCTGCCTAGGGAAGGATGAATCCAGACTTTATCCTGAACCACTTACTGTACAGTGTGGTCTATCCAGAGAAAGCTCTGCTCCATAAGATGTGATGTTGTATGGAGCATCACAGACAGGCCAGGATGGTGAACATGGCCAGTTTGCTGATGCCACATATTAGGATATTTGGTTACTGAAGTTCAGATTTTCCCTAATACTGACATTTGGAATCACATTAGTGCAATGTTGCAAAGTTACTCCTATGCACAATTATCCACAACCACACACATATTCCCATTTAGACACATTTTCACACACCTTTACAAATCATAGTGGCATGGGCTGGGTTTTGTATGGGAACTAAGCCAAAGAAAAGACATAAATACACAAACCTAACATGCAGGTAGAAATCTTTTGCTGTGTTTAGTAGGTTTTTATGTGCTATGTAACCATAATCTAAAAGGTATAGTATGTGTACAGTAGTAAAGCATAGTTTTAGACTAGTGAGCTGTGTGCTGTTGTCTGCTATAATACTGGACCACTTTGTCAATGGTATTCTGAGGTTGGGTCTCCTGATTTTTGGCTTAGTAATGTGCTGTGTTCTAGTACCATGGTCAACCTCTACTGTTTTCAGTTTTACAAAAAACCCTTTGGTCTCCTGTAAGAAGGAGCGTAGCCTCTGATCGCTGAGGTGTGTGTTATCCTGAGGCGGCCTGTAAGAGGCGGGGCTTTTTTTGGAGCCATTTGGGCACCAAGCTCGGAATGTAGGGCAATCCCCAGCCACCTTAGAAAATTACCCCCTCGCCCTCAAAAATCACAAGGTGCCCCGGCTTTCACAGGCATACCCAGTTGCACCCTAAAGGGCTATCAGCTGTCAAGTACATTTCTCAAGTGTTGGTAGTGTTATTTGTGTTTCTGAACACCAGGGGAACCCAGAGAACAGACTGATTAAAAAAAAGCTTTTTCATGCCAAGAAAAAGAGATGGGAATATTACCAAAACACAGAGAGAGATTATGACTGGGAAAATAGAGAATGAATGTTACAGGAAAGAATGTGATTTTGTTGAAGCTGGAGAGATTATTGTTGAATTGTTTGAAATAAGTGTAAAAAAAAAAAAGAACAATTCTGACATGTCGAAAGGTAAGACTATGAGAGGATATTGGCCAGATCAAACACCTCACAGAGCCTCATCGATGAAATTCATGAACACGGAAGTTTGCATTTAGCAACATTTGTGTATGATGATTTTTTAAAGGGTTTCTTGTCCTCAATTAGCTAATTTCTGCCATCTATATTTTAGTTTCCACCTACACTAATTCTACCCAAAATGCCGGGGGTGGGGGGGTGGTTGCGCTCCTGAATGTATGTTGTCCCTTTCATGAAGTGCTGTACAGCAATGTCAACCTAAGCCTCATTGTCTCAGAACCCCTTGCTATGGTTTGTACTTGTATCCCTGGCCCCACATCTGTGACATTTAACCCTGTACTATACATGAAAATCCTACTCTTTCCTGCTCCTCCTCAAGGTCTATAAAAAGTGAAATTCAGTAGCTTTCTGAAAGTGCAGAACTTCTGTAAGCTGGCCTTGGATATGTTTGTATAGTTCTTTGCTCTCCTTGGACATATAGATGTTTTTGATTTAGAGAGCAGGTTACCCAAACCCAACACCCTAACACTATTGTACTGTGTTGACAACTTTGCCTCTTCACTTGGAGTTCCTCTTTTTTCAAGTCAAAAATATGGTTTAACCTCACCTTAGTATAATAATATTGGTTCATGTACTACTACTATTCTCCTTTTTTTTAGTAACATTTTAATTGATTTATATTGAGCAATAAGTTCTTTTCTTTTTTTCTTGTCTGTGTGGTTTCATATTGTGGGAGTCTTCCCTATGAGCTTGTTTCTATTCACTACAGTAGGATGACTGACCTGCTTTGTTGTCATTCATGCGTACTGTAAAGTTTAAATATGTTACATACAGTATAAATACATATACAAACTAAGCTGTCTCTCTCCATATACTCATCAAGTAACAAATAAGGAATAAAGACTTTATGTCAAAAAGTGATGAGTCATGTTTTTCATCTGTTTTCAAGATATGCCAAGCAATCTTTCACCTCTGCTTGCACAGCTGTCTGTGATAAAATCACACCAGCCTTGGTGGACACACATGACATCTTCAGACACTATAGAAGAGTTTTTATTTTGTTCTAAACAATTCAAAACTGTTATTCCTTACCTCCTGCAGACAGACTGGTTGTGGAAAATCCTAATATGTAATGTTTCCATAGTCTACAAGAAAATGATTTTTTTTTTTTTACTTGAAACTGCCTTATACACAGGCTTTTATTCTATGTGTCATTTGTGACATTTGATCAAGAAGTGTCTGTTCCCTAACAGGTAACCCACAAAAATTGAATATGGACTTAACCATAATAACCAAATGCAGGCAGGTAGCAGGTAAAATACTACAGCTGATACTGTAGCAACATTACATATTTTCAACCACTGCAAATTGAAATACCTCAGGAAAGAATTTCAAGATTTTTTATAAACATTTTATACAAATTAGTGGTATCCAGATGATGAACTATTATGAATTTTGTTATCCAGTGGCTGTCAGGTTTGCCCGGCTGCACCCTCCTCTCTTTCTTTCCTCACACTAGTCTGCTTCCTTGCACTGATTACCCTATTCAACACACCTGCCCCGTTTCCCTGATTATTCACCAGCTGCACCTCGTTAGTTTCCCTCCTTACTTATACACTGCTCACCGTTCACTCCCCTGCCAGTTCAATCTTTGTTTTCAGGCTCCTATGTTTCGTTTTCTCCATTGTGCTACATACGCCAGTTCTAGTCTTCTGTGTCAGGCGCACCTCCGTTTTTGTCCCACTGTTTCGTTCCTCCTCGGCGGACCTCTCCTCTGGACCATGGATCTACGCATCCTACCAGCCTCCACCATACAAGTCGATGCACAGTCTCCTTTTAACTGTCTATCCATGCTCCTGTTTCCTCAGCCATCATCTTCTCCACCCTGACCAGTCCAGGAGTGATCCCAGCATCTGCAGCCCAGTCCAATTTCATCCACCATACCTCTGACTGCTCTCTGCATCTGCCGCTGATCAACACCCGGTTACCCCTACCTACAGCACGTCTCTACTTTTGCACTGTTGTCACCTTGTAAATAAATATCACTGCTTGCACCGAAGCCAGCTACCTGGGTTCATCTTCTTTCCGCTCACTTCTGTGATCGAGCAACCCTAACAGTGGCATACAGTCTAGCACCACCAGAGAAGCATATTTCAGAGAACTATCTTAAAAACAACCAAACATATTCCTATGAAATTTGGTACACGTATTTAATACCACAGCAATGAAGCCTATGGACTTTGATGATTCATCAGTATTTCCTCTAGCACCACCATGAGTCCCATGGTTTTGGTTCTGAATCAAATATCTTGAAAGCTATCAACATACAGTCTGGTTCACTTATTAAATTTGTCATACCAGTGAAACCATCTGACTGTAAAGAATGATTTCTGTGGCCACTGAAAGACAATTGCTTAATGTAACAGAGACAATCACACTGTGAACTTTACGTAGACATTTGTTTCACACTTTATTCAGCTGTTATCATGACAAACCACAGATCAGATAGACAGATTCATCTTACATAAGCATAAACTTTATTGCCAAGTATTAACAAAAATACAAGGAATTTGACTCCAGCCCAAAGGCCCCCATTGTGCACAGCAATAAAAATAAAATAAATACAAAATATATATACAAGTTAAAAGAGCAAACATAGACTAGTTGTTCAAGAGTGTAATAGCCCAGGGGAAAAAACTATCTCTGTGCCTGGTTGTCTTTGGCGCACATTGACCTGTAACGCCGTCCAGCGGGGAGGAGTTCAAACACTTTGTGTCCCGGGTGTGAGGGGTCTATAGTGATCCTCTCTGCCCTCCTTTTGACCTGTGAAGTGTACAGGTCCTCCACAGAGGACAGGCGGGCACTGATGATTTTCTCTGCAGTTCTGACTGTCCGCTGGAATCTGTTACTGTCCTGTTTGGTTGCTGAGCCAAACCAGACAGTGATGGAGGTGCAGAGAACAGACTCAATGATTCCCCTATAGAACTGAATCAGAAGCTCCTGGGGCAGGTTAAACTTCCTGAGCCGATGCAGGAAGTACATCCTCTGCTGTGCCTTTTTAATCGTGGTGCTGATGTTGGTTGTCCTCTTCATGTCCTGAGAGATTGTGAAGCCCAGGAACTTGTAGGACTCCACAACTGAAATAGTACTGCTGAGTATAGTGAGCGGAGATAGGGTGGGGGAGCTCCTCCTAAAATCCACTATCATCTCCACTGTCTTCCATGTATTCAGCTCCAGGTTATTGTGAACACACCACAGGGCCAGCTGTTCAACACCCTGTCTGTAGGCCGACTCAAGATCAAGATCAAAGATTTTTATTGTCAATTCACTATATGTGCAGGGCATACAGAAAATCAAATTCAAATTTAAAATTTTCATTCAAGTTTGCATATTGCATTCACTTCATAGATTATGAAGCATTGCTCTGCCCTACACAAAAGCAGTTAAGCTGCTTTTCTAAGTAAGAAAAGTATCGGTATCGCCAATATTTGCAGTAAAATTTTGCAGTATCACACACCACTAGCTGGCCCTGATGGGATGGATGGTTTTAGACATAAAACGAGGAATTGTTACAGATGGTTATTATTTGGCCACTTTTTTCCAAGTTCTCTGGTAACATGTAGAGAATTGTCATTGACATGAACATACAGGGACCTACAGTGTAAATGTCCATAGACTTTAAAAATTAAGTGGGTCACTGATAAAGTTCTGGTTCTGTCAGCGCTGTGTCCCCAGTATCTAGTTCTGGTGCACTGGGAATCTGTCGACTATGAATGGTCAGAGTGATTACATACACCCAGTGGTCAGTTTATTAGGAACCCCTGTGTCAGACTGAGTCTGACCCACAGTGCTGCAGTAAATCCTTCTGCATGAAAGTGATGATGTTCAGTCTGTGTCACAGAGGTGCTGGTTCACCGCTGCTGTTCAATGGTGCTGTGTTATATCGACTAGTGTTTCTGTTTTTTAGCCTGGCTTCTCTGATATAAATAATGGATAAAATAATAGAAGGTGACAATTAGAAGTTGAACCAAATCCTCAAAGCACACCACCAACTGGAGTCTTACTCCAGAAATTTTGTGATCAAGTCATTGATTTCTTTTGTTTTGTTTTGGGGTTTTTTTTTTTGTAGATTTTGCTTTACTTTCTCATTTTTCACATTCTTCATTTCATTTACCTGCCTGTCCACTATGGAGGTGATTGTTTCCACAGCTTCCTTCCCTTTGAATATATTAAGTATTATATTCCATATCTTCTGTATAGCCCTTGTAATCCTTTGTTCTTCCATCCTGGCTGAAAGTGCCTTCAGGATGTTAAACTGCTTCTCATTTTGTAGCTTCTGATCTTCAAATTCCTTGGTGTATTTCTCCTTGAACTTACTGAATTGTTCAGCCTGGTTCCTGGCCTCCTCCGCAGATTTCTTCTTCATGTCGTCTATTCTGTTCTTATACTGTAATCATGAGTTATTAATGGATAAGTTAGAAAAATATGGGATCAGAGGAATGGTTCTGAAATGGATTAGAAGTTATTTGACACAGAGGCGTCAATTTGTGAAGTTAGGTGAATACCAATCGAGTGAGCTGGACATTGTATGTGGAGTGCCTCAGGGTTCTGTTTTGGGACCTAAATTATTTATA